ACGTGTGTGTGTATGTTTATCCCTCCACGTTATGGAAAGATCTCCCTTGATGGTAGAAAAGACTTGGGTTCCTATGAAAATGGCACTACTAAAATCAATCAATAGGTTGTCGATACTTTGAGATTAACTCATTTATCAATAATTTGTATTTTTGATTGGAACCTCAAAGGCAGGTCTTCAGCAGGGGTCCACGGCCCCTAGGGGGTCCTCAGAGATGCTGCATGGAAGTCGTGAAAGTTTTGGTTGATTACTTTTTTCTTTTATATTCCTCCCTCTGCATTTTTTTCCACTAATAGAAATATCTTTAAATCCACATTAACATGAATCCAACAGACTGTAGTAAACAGATAAATGGAGGCAGAAGATGTCTTTCAGTCATCAAAGCACTTTACTCTGTCTGTAATAGAGTGACTATAGGACCAGTTTGATAGAACACAATTTCATTCAATATATATAATTAGGTCCCCGCTCCATCTCGCCATCAGTTTGGGGGTCCTTGGCCTGGAAAACGTTGAAGACCCCTGCTCAAAGGAATAAAACAGAGCAGCCATTGCCTTTAGTTCAGAGACTTTACTTCCAGATGATTTAGCTACTTGGACTAACACTTCCAACGTCTTTAAGAAATTATGCCTTGTCCCTTTAAGCACCCAGAAATGTTATATTAAAAATGGGGTTAAAAACATGATTTGTCTCTGCAGAGAATCCATTTGAATTTTTAAAATCCTTGTTTCTGCCTCTGACTGTAATTCTAAACTGCTTCAACATTCAGATCACGGATGTTTTAAGTCGTAGTGCTTAGTTTTGAAATTTTAACCTACATCCACTCTTTCCCTGTCCTCCACACAGATATGCGATATGGCGGTTGTGTTGGAAGTAATCACTTGTCTTGAGAAGTACCCAATTACCAAAGAAGCACTTGAGGTAAGAAGTTAGATTCTGTGAAGAAACTACCTTTAGATTATCAATGTAGATGTTTAAATCGTTTTGGCTTGATTTTTATTTTTTCTCTCCAGGAAACTCGACTTGGGAAATTGATTAACGATGTGAGGAAAAAGGCCAGGGATGAAGACCTTGCTAAGCGAGCCAAGAAACTGTTACGGAATTGGCAAAAACTGATTGAACCCGGGCCGGCGGGAGCTACGAGCCTCCCCGGATCGACCAACGGCAGCTCCCATCCCTGCAGGACTGATTCCTCCCCGGCGGACCTTTCCGTGTCGGGGAAAGGCGTCCCTGAAGTTAAAACTAGAAACGATGTCCACAACACGTACTCGCCCAAGGCCGAGAAATCAAGCAGCCGCAAACGGCGGGCAGAGCAGAGAGACAGTGGGGTGTTCTTACCCGAAAAGATCTCCAGGATGGCGTCGTATGAAAACTCTGTTTCCCCGCCCACCAATGGGATCGCAGCCAGCCCAGACGCCCTGCCCGACCAGGAGGTTGTCCCGTCTCCCGATAGATCCCGATTGGACCACCTTGAAAACGACAAAGTCAACAAGATTCCAATAAACGCCGTCAAGCCTCGCCCCAGCTCTCCTGGAGCGGCCAAACCGCTCAGCTCTTCTTCTCTGATCAAAGTCGCTGTGATGCAGCAGGCTAGATTGGACGAAGGGGGCGGTGGTTACCAAGCCAGAAGTCCTCGCAGCGTGGCGTCCAGTCCGAGGAGCGGAAAGCAGGACTCTGTGTCCAAGCGCTCGTCGGCATTTGCAGCTAAAGGAACACCCATCCCAAGCCCGTCTTCTAGAGACTCTCCCTTGCCTTTCTCTCAGTCGGTGTCCTCCCCGGGCCAAACATCGTACGCTTCTCATTGCCCGTCCCAGGACATTTCCGAATCCCTGTCGGTTCCCCCTTCCCCGCTCATTCCTCAGCAAAACTCCGAACTACACAGATCAATGTTTGAGGCTGCGCCCGACAACACGGACGGGGGGGCGGTGCTGAACTCTGAGCATAAAAGGAAAAAGTATAGGCCTAGAGACTTTTCTGTGAACTTGGACGGCCAAAAAGTAGAGGACACAACTAAACCCGTGAGGTTAAAAGAGCGCAGAATAACGTTCGACCCGGTCACAGGCCAGATCAAACCCTTGGTGCATAAAGAACCCTCTCAAGCAGAGGACATCCCCACTCCAGACCCCGCCGAGTCCAGGCAAAGAACCGAGAGCGTCGTCCCGCAGCCCACTGCCACAACCTCCACCCCGACGCCCGGCCCCGGCCCAAACCCTTTCCACCAGACGAACTGGAAGGAGCTGTCCAGGAACGAAATCATCCAGTCCTACTTGAACCTTCAGAGCAACGTGCTCACCTCCTCGGGGGTCCAGGCCCCTAGCGCACACTTTTTCATGTCGGAGTACCTGAAAAGGGAAGAACAGGAGACCAAGGAGTCGAGGAAAAAGCACGTTTTGCAGACGGACAGCTTGACGGGGGATTTGCCGGGGTTGAGTCGGGACGTGACGACCGAGGACTTGGACAGGATACACACACAGAACTGGCCCGGGGTCAACGGTTGTTACGACACCAAAGGCGCCTGGTATGATTGGACAGAGTGCATATCACTGGACCCTCACGGGGACGAAAGCAAATTGAACATCCTGCCATACGTTTGCCTCGACTGAGAGGTTTGGGAAGGCTGCTGTTTCTTTTTCCTCTCCTTTCTTTGTCTCAACAAAGAGACCTGATAGTTTGATTTTTTTTTTCTTTATTCTTATTATTATTTTGGTTTTGTTTGTCCACTGTGAGTTTGGCGAGAACCAGGCCGACTAAACTTCCCCCCCTCCCTCCCAATCGGCTCTTTCTGTGAAAATCTCTTGAGACTTTGGTATTAAAAGCATAATGGTTGAAAGAAGAGTTCGGTTTGATATCAAGGGCTGTTTTGTTTTTGTTTTAAACCGAAAGTTTTTCACACCAAGAGAGGGCAGGATCATTTCTCCCCCAACCTGAAGGGTGACGGTCAGGCTGGTACTGAGATAATGATGCTGTTTTCATTTTCTCCTCGTTTCCTGAAGATACGATGCAGGATCCATGGGAGGGGGGGGGTTAAATGAAGAGGGAAGGTTTGGCTCTGGCTCTTCTGTCCAGATGAACCCGCTGATAGAGTTGACTTAGCACAGTCCGAGCTGAACGTGTCCAGATGATCCAATACTGGAACATATTTAGCAGTTACAAGAGGCTTTATGTGAAATATTAAAAAAGTAAATTATAAGATTTCTTATGTATACATCTATTTATTTTTGAACATTTATGGGATGTCCTAAAAAAACAAACATTTTTTTTTTGTTTAAATTACAGCATCTTCATCACAGATCCCAGACATTTGTGTTTTTTGTTTTGAGATTGGCTGAATATTTCCGGTTTATTAACATTCCAAGTACCGTTCACCGACTTTAACTCCATACCATCCATTGTTAAATGGTTCCAAAAGTGCAAATTTCTCATTGAAAGTAAGGTCAGTCCATTAGCATGCTACCAGGTAGGATGTCGGATACCAGAGTCAAAAGGGAAGGCTTTATTTAAACGTTAAAACGCATTTATTGCTTTGGAAGATATTGTTTGCCTTCCTGTCTCAATATGTTTCCTGAGTGAGAAGAACCTAAGTGAATGATTCTGAATCATGTGACCAAAGGTCATTTAGATATCTGGATGTAGGGTTTTCTTTCTTTTCTTCTTCCTTAGTGAGTTCAAACATCCATCAGGATTGGAGAGTCCAGTTTTTCCCATCCGACAAGCAACAGTGTTTCATTAGAGTTTAAACGCACCAAATGATTTCAATCAGGATAGGCCTCTGTTCAACCCCTGTTCATTCATCCTTTTGGTTTTTTTCCCTCCTACCGATGTGCCTTGGTAAACGGTAAATCTGGAGTTCCTTCCGCGTTAAACATGCCTGTCTGTAGGTCAATGTGCGGGAAAGTCCCCCGAAAACCCACTAAGGATACGACCCTGGTTTATATATGCACCGATTTCTGTTACGTTTGTACACAGCGATCCGGGGGGGGCGAGCTGAAGCGGCAGGCGACGGTAAACTGCACAACAAACGCAGCTGGCAATAAAGGACAAATGCTACCACAGCTTAAGGAATCTGTTTCTCTGGAGTTTTGACTGGGGCGTCTTTAGTTGTTCAGTGTTTAACATCTCTAAATTGTTTGAAAAATAAATGATCTAAATCTTTTCTTTTTCTCACCTGATGTGTGTGTGCTTGTGGGGGGGGGGGGTCTTATAGGCTTATAGGGTATTCTGCCAATATGATGGTTTTAATGGCTTCTTTTTGATGTACAGTGAGAACTTTTGGATGCTGTGAGATCTCATCAGATGTTTCTATGGTAACTGAACTGTTTACAATATGATTTAGATATGGGGAGTTTCAAAGCTTTGGACACAAAATGTTAACACTTTGATCCCTAAACCAGTCACAGGAAAATGAAAATCAGTTTCACAACACTGATTTGTTTCAGGTGTTGATTTAATATAATTTACAGCTAATTAGCATTTTGTTCTAATTAAACATTAAGTGTGCTGTTTGAGTTATGAAAGGGGGTATTTGTAGGATATATATATGGGGAGAAGTTTGTTCCAATATTATTGAATTTAAAAAACATGATTTAATAATGGAAATTTTAAGGAAAACTCTTTTCAAAAATGGAATTAAAATTAAAAAAACGACCCAATTTAAAAAGTTATTTGTGTATACAAAAGTTCGACATATTTACAGTTTGCTCTTTAACAATCTGTCATTTGGAGACAAGAGTTTTATTGATTTGACCCTTTTCAAATCCCAAGTTGACAGATTTAACCTTCCATATTTCTGGGTGGATCAATAGAAGATAAAAATTCAGGCAGAGCAGATTAATTTCTACGTTTTTTTTTTCCATAAGCTGCCCAAAAATGTTGAGGGTAAAATCTGTAAAACCGTACTGGAGATGAATGCAATTTGTTAAAAACCTCCATTTCCCCCGAAATAATTAGAAAATATAATCTGAAAAAGGAAATTGAAACATTAGAATCTTAAAACATGTTTTAAAAAAGAAAAAAAAATCCCAAATAAAATTGGAAAAAATATATTTAGCTTTTGGATGCTGTGAGATCTCATCAGATG